GTTCTGAAGGCAAAAGGGGGTCCAACCCGTTACTAGCGTGGTGTACCTAATAAAGTGGCCGGTGAGTGTACACAACTTTTATTTTTATTTGTTATTCACCATTTTATACAAAATTGTTTTTAAAAGAATGAAAATTTGTTTGCAAAAACGTTACACAAATAAACGTGTGCTGTTTTTCAACATCTGGTAATTTGTTAACTGATCTTCAATATATTTTTGCAAAAAGAAGGCATGATATTAAGTAGATTTATCAAATAGATTTTAAGCCATGTGGTACCAATTCTAAGGTAATTTGAATAATTTAATTTATTTAAAGATGAATAAAAACTGCAGTGTAATTGTGCTGAATTAAGTGACATTGTTCCAAGTATGAGTTAATGTAACTTAATTTATTTATTCAGTCCAAATTATTTTTATCCAGATATTTAGAAAAATACTATTTTTTTTCCACTGACAAAATTAGTACATATAAATTAATTTCATCTACATATTTGAAAATCAGTTTCATCCTCATAGTTAGTAAATACAAATGAATTCCACCTAAATAATAAGTAAAACTAAATCATTTTTTGCTGATATTTGGTATATCAGTATTTTATTTCAGATACTTAGTAGATCGTCATCAGTTTTTGCCAAAGAATTAATTTGGATTTACTCATCATTTGTARTATTATTGGTAAATTCGAAATACTTTAAATCAATTATTCCATTATTTTGTATTTAATAGTTTAATTTAAATTTACACAACCTAATCAATATTTTACTTAAAGATGAAGTGTTTAAAATCTATTCAATTATAGTAATTGTCACTTTGTTGCCATAATTTTTTTAAATAGACACTGGTCAAACTTTTCTGCTCGTTATATTATTAATATTCTGTCACAGATGTTTTACTCACATATTGCATACAACTGAAATGGAAAACCTGAAAAGTTTTTAACATAAACATGATTTATTTAAAAGTGTTTTGTCGGTGCCACAGAGCGACGTGGCAGAACATTTCTTTTCCAAGTTTCACTTTTTTCTTACTAGACACGTTTGCTTTGTTTCTTTTTGTCATGACATTCATTTTATCATTTGTTTTTTGTCACAATCATCTTTATTATGGTTTATATTTAGGTTATTTTTAATCTTTTATAATTAGGTTAAATAATCTAACTTTAGTATCACTTCACAATAAGAGCCCCTTGATAATAGAAGTGTTTTAATGCATTATAAGTTGGTTATTTTTAAATTTGCAACCACTTCATAAACATCAATCATTAAACCATTAAAACACTGTTCATACATCAAAGCAGACTCGTTAACTGGTAAAATCCAATGTTGAGGTTTTATTCATTTCTTTATCATTTGATTTTTAAATATTAAACATTTGTTAGTGAGTTACCTGCATGTAAACATGAGCATTGTAGATATAAAGTTTATTTTGGTAAATACAATGTGGTTAAAAAAATTAACTGAATAGTGAACAATAAATTTAATTTACCTGAATGCCAAAAGCATCTACCCAAATAGTGAGCATGCTTCAAAATATGAACACTGTTTTATGTCTGCATTAGAAACAATTGGTAATTCTTTATAAAGTGGTTAGACACTCAAATATAACCTTTTTATAAGGCATTAATAAATCCTGTATACATGAACTAGTATTAGATAGTGGTGCCCACACTTAATAATTCTAAATAAAAAWATATGACCTGATCCCTTATAGTCAGAGTATTAACTGCACTAATATAAGAACAAAACTATTTTCTTTAACATCTCCAAAAAAAGACAGATGATCATCGAAGCTCAGTTCTGTTTCAAAGTATTGGCTGCTAAAATAATAATGTTGTAGTTTTATAATTCAAACCATGAATGTGTTTCTACAATGGTCTGAATAAAATCATTTCAGTTTATTGTACAAAAAATTTCAAGAAGAACCATCTGCTTACAAAACTTAAAGGAAGATCTGAAAGGAGGAAACAACAGTCAAGATTGTATCATTTGAAGTGAAACAACAGCACAAAATTTGCACCCCTTTAGTTTGTTTTAGTCCAAAACATTGCTGGAAACAAAAGTTTGTATAGACTTTGTTTTTTATTCACCTAAAAATTCAAATWTTGAATCATCATTTTGTCAATCTAACAACACAGAGCTGGACGCTGATGGTTCAACGGCTAATTCTGCCCATTGGATCTTTGATTTATGTGATATATTTTTTATCTTTTCGACTTAAGTAAAACTCTCATTACTTATAATAAATGTACATGTAAAATATCCCAGTTTCTATTTATTTAGAAGTGTTTTGTAACTTATCTAAATTTATTACCCCACTCTTTTGGCCAAAGTAGGACAACAATTTCTGACAAATCAGCCAAAGAATAAACAGGTCTGAGATGTAAAAGGGGACAAAGTGAATGAACACAGACATCCGTTAAAGTTTTAAAAAATCTTTATTATTTGTTAGACCTCTGCCATACTCAAAGCTTTGAAAGGTTTATTCCAAAAACATCAAGAAGAATTGCAAATGTTAAAACTTTTGCAACTGGAAGAATAAATCTTGGTTTTATTTTGAACGAAGAAACAATCAGTTGTCTCTCAGCATTTGGCTCCTATCACCTTCTTCTTGTTGTGCTKTGTGTCGAACCACACAGTGAATGTGCAGGTGATGAACTGAAAAACAAAGATCAAAAAATTATTTATTCAGACAAAAACAAATAAAGTGCATTTATTCTGTAATTTAAAATAAAGCTTTGATTTCTTTAATGAGATAAATACATTAGCTTTGTGTGAGTCTTCAATAACGGGACAGTAGTTACTGATGGTGAACTTGAGGCAATTAGTTTTCCCCAATTTCAGAGTCATTATGTAGTTCATTCCTGCAACTACCTGTAAAGACAAATAAATGACAGGTTTAATGTTAAAAAATGAARCATTACAGTCAGTGAACTATAAAACAGGTGATGGAAATAAGTAAAATGTTAGCTGGCTTAAATTAAATGCAATGCAAAGTAAAAACAGAACTGACCTGAGACTGAGACTTGAGCACGTCTACTAAAGCGTAATAGTGTTGATGKTTACTGTTGTGGTTGTATTCTTTAACGGCATAGCCCAAAGCCTGTTGAAATCCTGGATCCTTGATGTCTATGTCTTGTGGTCCACCTGGACGGCCATCTGAACCCAAACCGACAGCCAAAATGGCGGCAAAGCAGGTCAAAGCGATGTTCCACATCATGGTTCTGTAGGAGCAGCAACAGATGTACACGAGTTAATTCAGCCTCTCTGTTCCCTGGCTTTTATGATCAGTCCGCTCAGTAAAACCATGAGCTAATCAGYAGGCTCGAGTTCTAATCATTAGTTCTGATAACTTCATAAGTGGGTCAGGGATCCCAAACTCACAACCTATCAGRAAGAAATCTGCTGTTTGACATTGAACGAATAACACTTTTTCAAAAATAAACCCCACTAATACCATAACCACAGCTAGTGTCCAAGCAWTGTCCCATTTTGTGAAAAGCACAGATCTGATGACAAGGCCACACTATCCCTTCATGATGCAAATATCGGATTTTATTTATAGTGTTGGTGCCTTTATTATCAGAATTAAACTGATAGCTTCGTAACAAAAAGTCCTAACAAAATGGACAGTGTTTGACTAAAATATCTTCATCTTAACCAGGAGTCTACAAACTTTACATTCTAAATAACCTGTTCAGCCT